ATGAGTAAAACAGAGTATTGATAGAGTCCCATTTTTGTAAAACTCTGACTAAATTCCATATATGTGTGTATACACACACACACACACACACACACACACACACACACACACACGTATACAGTCGCCCCTCAGTATCCACAGGGGATTGGTTCCAGGACCCCTGCAGATACCAAAATCTGAGGATGCTCAAGTCTCTTATATAAAATGGCTTAGTATTTGCATATAACCTACACACATCCTCCTGTATACTTCATCTTTAGATTAGTTATAATATCTAATACAGTGTAAATGCTATGTAAATAGTTTTTACACTATATTGTTTAGGGAATAATGACAAGATACCATGAGAACAGTGCTCAAATGAGTGGTTGAGAGAGACTGAGGATCTGTGAAATGGTGGGAGGCTACAGCAGGGTATGCCTACACATCATTTCATTCATATGGATTCAGCGTAGTGTTCGGCATGTGGGAAATTCCAAGTTTTGCTTTTTGGAACTTCCTTTTTTCCCCCCAATGTTTTCAATCCACAGTTGGTTGAATCCGTTGATGTGGAACTCGTGGGTATGGAAGGCTGACTATGTGTGTATATGATTATGCGATCGTGGACAGAAAAATGTAATGAAAAATACCAAGTCAAAAACATGGGTTAAGGGATTTGTGTAGGTGCAAGGGGAAATAGGGATGCAAGCAAAAAATTGTTATATTCCATATATGCGTTCATATAAAATCATATATTTGTATATTATAAGGATTTTTTTTAAAGATTAAATAATGGTAAGATGTTTATTTTGAAAGGGTGAGGGAAGGAACCATTAGGAAGATCTGGGAAGAACGTTCTACAGAGAGGGAATAGCTGGTGCAAAGTTCCTAAGGTGGGAGGTGTCTAGTGGTCAAGGAAAACACACATTTACATGGCAGTGTAGCTAAGTGGATATTTGGGAGAGTGATGGAAAATAAGGCTAGATAGAGAGGTTAAGGCTGGATTATCTGTTTTTGTGAGCCAGGCAGAATAAGTTTGGATATTACTTTCAGTACAGTGAAAAACTTGAATCTCCTACCTACACAATCTGATCTGTTTCAGAAAATACCACTCTGGCACTTTTGTGGCATATAAACTGTAAAGTACAGTGGGTGGAGCAGGAATCCAGTAAGGTAGGTATATCAATAATTCAGATGAGAGGTGATATAACTTAGCGTAGGGTGGTGGTAGTATAGATAGAAAGAAGTGGATAGATTTGAGATAAGTTTTAGAAGTACAGTTGACACAATTTGCTGATAGATTGGTTAGAGTAGATTATTAGGATAAGAAGGATCGAGGATACATAGAAGAAAAAATAAGATCAAGGCTAGAGGCCCTAATACACGGCATTAACAGGATAGAAACCATAACTAACAACACACAAACTCCGGAAGATAAGCTAGATAACTAGATCTTCTTAAAATTAACACTTATGCTCATTAAAAGACTTCACCAAAAAAGTAAAAAGATAACCTACAGACTGGGAAAAAAATTTCGGCTTCGAAAAATACAGCAAAGATCGAATGTCTAAAATCTACAGGAAAATCCAATACCTCGACAACAAAAAGACAAATTAGTCCTTTGAAAAAATGGACAAAGGAAATGAACAGACACTTCACCAAAGAAGACATTCAGGCAGCTAACAGACACATGAGGAAATGCTCATGATCACTAGCCATTAGAGAAATGCAAATTAAAACCACATTGGGATACCATCTCATCCGGCATTATGGCACGAGTCAAAAAAACAGAGAATAACAAACATTGGAGAGGCTCTGGGAAGATGGGAACTCTTATGCACGCTGGTGGGATGCAAAATGGTACAGCCATTTTGGAAAACGATATGACGCTTCCTTAGAATGCTAGAAATAGAAATATCATATGATCCAACAGTCCCACTCCAGAAATATATCCTAGAGAAATAAGAGCTGTCACACTAATAGACATGCACACCCATGTTCATTGCAGCATTGTTCACAATAGCAAAAAGATGGAAACAGCCTAGGTGCCCATCAGCAAATGAATGGATAAACTATGGTACATATACACAATGGAGTACTACTTGACAATAAAGATCAGTGATGAATCTGTGAAGCATCTCACAACATGGATGAATCTGGAGGGCATTTTGCTGAGTGAAATAAGTCAGTCACAAAAAGACAAATATTATATGAGACCACTGCTGTAAAAACTCTGAAAATGAAGATGTTTACACACAAAAAGAAACAGTCTTTGATGGTTATGAGGGAGGGAGGGTGGGAATGGAAAAACACTAAATAGACAATAGATAAGTGATAACTTTAGTGAAGGGTAAGACAGTACGCAATACTGGGGAAGCCAGCACAACTTGCCCAAGGCAAGATCATGGAAGCTCTGTCATTAATAAAATATAGTTAAAAAAAAAAAAAAAGGGATCAAGGATAATTCTTAGATTCTGTTTTGTTTTGCTTTTGTTGTTTGGGTGGATGGTGGTGCCATTTGCTTAAATGGAGAAGACTGCTGAAAGAGCATATTGGGTGCTTTTATAACCATGAAGCTGAATGCAGTCACATAGGAAGGACTGTGAGGATAAAGAGGAAAGGGAACCCAAGTCTAAAGCCCCAACGTTTCAACATTTAGGGGTTGAGCAGAGGAAGAGGTGGTAGCAATATAGACTGAAAGAAAGTAGCCACTGAAGTACGAGGAAAGCCAGGAGTGTTGGTGTCATAAACACCAGCAAAAGAAAGTATTTGAAGAATGAGAAATATGGTCAGCTTTTTCAGATGCTACTGAGATAAAAGTAAGATAAGAACTAAAAAGTGATCATTGATTTTCACCACATAAATTATAGGTCACTGATGAGCTTGACAAGGACAGTCTTAGTAGAATATTGTTGTTGTTGTTAGGTGCTGTTGAGTCGGTTCCGACTCATAGCGATCGTATAGGACAGAGCAGAACTGCTCGGATTTCGAAGGAGCATCTGGTGGATTTGAACTGCCAACCTTTTGGTTAGCAGCTGAACTCTTAATCACTATGACCCCAGGGCTCCTAGTAGAATATGGGGACTGGAAATCTGCCCCTCCAGTTACCATCCGTTCTCTTTGCTCTACTTCAGAGTAAAAATGTTTGAAAGAATCATTTATAATTTTTATCTCCACTTCCTAACCACCTCTTGTCTCCTCAACCCACTGAAATCAGATTTCTAGTAGAATATGGGGACTGAAAAATCTGATTTCAGTGGGTTGAGAACACAGTAGGAGGTAAGGAAGTGGAGATAAAAATTATAGATGATTCTTTCAAATGTTTTTACTCTGAAGTAGAGCAAAGAGAATGGGTGGTAACTGGAGGGGCAATGTGGAGTCAAGGGAGATGGTAGAACATGTTCATGTGCTTACGGTTTTTGATCTTGTTGAGAAGAAGGAAACCGTGATGGGGTAAGAGAGTGAAACCCTTGAAAAGCAAGTGGAAAGGAATAGGAACAGCAGGAAGGGAGATTGTGGTAAAGTACAGATGAAACAGTTCAACTGATAGATTTGGTGATTTTTCTCAATGATTGAGACAAAGTTATCAGTGGAAAATGGAGTTGAGGGAGAGAAGGTGGGAAATAGTTGGCTTGGAGAATGAAACAAATAAGGGAAGGTGGCAGGTATGATTGTCAGGCAGGATTTAGTGTTAATTTGAGATTTGTTGTCATGAATTTAGAAACATCATTTGTGTGCTTGTGCACACGTGTGCAGGCATGTTTCCAGCAATTTTCAGCTACTTGCCTAAACATACAGGGATATCTGGATATAAGTATAGGGGATCTGTCCCTTGTTGGGGCTATGCCAGGCAAGTTTGATAGAGCAAGAAGGGCAAAGGAGTTAGTTGTGAAAGTAGTGATCGACCATGGAATCCAGAGAAGGAAGAAAGGACATGAAAATAGATAGTAACAAAGTGGTGAGGTAAGTGGATTGGAGGATCTGATAAGGTAAAAGAATTGCTGGAGAAATAATACAAAATAGGAGAGCTGGATAGTAGGCAATCAGAGTAGAATGCATGAAATTAGATTTTGGAAGTTATGTAATTATTGGTGATGGCAGAGTTAAAGGTATGATAGTAGGAGTAGATGACTAACATAAGGTAGAGATAAAGATCACTGGAGGTTGGGAGATCAAGGAACTGAGAAGCCCAGGATATTGCATTGATTCTTTTTATATGCTGGTGCTGAAGTCACCAAGAACAAAGATAAGAATAGCTCTAGAAAGAAAAGTAGCCAAGTGATACTTATCAGTGCATGAGGGAGAGCTACCAAGGGGTTGCTTGGTGCCCACCACAAGGTGGGTTATCAGGTGGTATAATTTCATGGCTTGAGCTCCAAAAGATCTGGGGTTTTTGAAGGGGAAGGAAGGGAAAATAGTTTGGAAGAGGGAATAGGAAGCAAAAAGAACGTATCTTCTAGGGCCTTCAAGTATGGGGCATGTAATATTTAAAAACAGAAAAATTGGTCTCTATTTGTGAGGGCTTCATGTGGCAGATTGCAGTTTGAGAAAGAAGTATTCAAAGAAGAATTGGAGGACATGGGAATTTACTGATCCTGGACAGTGATTTTCATTGGGTACAATAGAAAGATTTTGGGAGGGAGGAGACAAGTATGAGTTAGGTTAGTAGTTGTGCTTAGCTGTATAGGGATTCAGGTCTGGGGTAGGACTTGGGTTTCTGATGAGTAACAGTTTTAAGCTGAATGATAAGGTGCCACTAGACAACTGCTTTCTTTCTGTGGTTCTTTGCCTTCTGCAGTGGAGTGGCAGCCGAGGGTAGGGAATACCTCCTCAGGAGGCGGCTCTGTCAGAGCCCTTGGGTATACAAGATGATCCATGGAAGACTGTACTCCAGTGGCAAGCTGCTGGGAATCTTTTCCTTTTTCTGGAGTCTGGTTCTGTATTGAAAGTGGACTTATCTTCAGGTAGCCTATATTTAAGTATTCATGTTTTTAATAAAAACACACTTTTTTCTTGCCTAGGTTACTTTTACAAAGAGAAAGTTTGGATTAATGAAGAAAGCCTATGAACTTAGTGTGCTCTGTGACTGTGAAATAGCACTCATCATTTTCAACAGCTCTAACAAACTGTTTCAGTATGCCAGCACTGATATGGACAAAGTTCTTCTCAAGTATACAGAATATAATGAACCTCATGAAAGCAGAACCAACTCGGATATTGTTGAGGTAACCCATCTATCTAGTAATGCCTAAATTGCAGATAATAAGTCTTCCATTTAGTAACATTAGCTGTCAGATTGCTTTTTATGTCCAATAGTAAATCAGTTAAAGACTTTTTTTTTTTTTGGAATTATTTCTTAGAAGAAGGATCTAATTATTGCTATATAATAACCTACTTAAAAACATTTCTTATTTACTCAAAATAAATCACTTGGTTTACTGTATACAGCAGTGTAATCTAACATTTCCTCTATGATTACTTTTATTTTGTATGAGTTTAAATTAACATTGTGAGGAATTAAATCCCTTTAGGACAGTATGAAGTTACAATTTTAGTATGTCTTCATCATTTTATTATGTCAGTGACTACCCACAACTTTAAACACTAATGAAATGGAGGAAAAAGATAAAAATAATATTTCTGTTTTGTTAATACTGCTTTATATGGGGGAGGAGGGTATCCTCATTTTCTTTTTTTTATCTGCTGCCCATTTTGCATCTCTCATAGTTCTGCCAACTAATCACATGAAAATAAAGAAAAGGAATTTTTTTAGAATGTTTTTTATCTGTTTGAAAATTGTGTTTTAAAACCTTCAAAAAGGAGAACCCATTATTTCCGTTTACTTTCTGCTGCAAAATATTATAAAAGATATCTTTCCCATGTATATTTCTAATAGCATTTTAAATTAGCTTCCCATTTAGCCCTTTTTGTTTATATTTAGAGATTTGGCTTCATTTGTATTCAGAAAGGGGATATTTTCATTACTCGTGAGATGTATACTTTGGGTTAATTTTGTAATACTGGAAAACTTATCTGAAGAAATTAGGGATTTCCTTACAGAATGTGCTGAGACCATGTGAAGATGATGCAGAATTAACTATTAAAAAACAAATAAGTTCAAATCTAGATTTTACTTCTAATAATTGAAATTAAAACAGAAAAAGAGAAACTTTAAGGATTTTATTGTGTAGGAATCTAATTTATTTACCCCTACAGATTATGGTTACAATTCTAAGAACACATTTTAAATGTCACCTATGTCGCTGTGCCTTAGCCATTTCTTTTTGGACAGCAATTGATTTAGGTTGTTGCTATAAAAAATTCTACTTATATTAAAGAAAAATTGTATTAGTTGGAATTTTGCAGAGTGATTTTGTTACTTTTTTGCAATTTATCAATAGTTTCAAATGAGAAATGAAAGATATAACAAATTAGCATAATTACAGTTAAGACTCATTCCTGTTGCTTTACTTGCCTGCAGTTCTATTTAAGGGACTCCCCACTGTGAACTCATCCTGAAATGTATATACAGCTTTTTATTTTACTTTTGTTGATCACTTTTATTAAAGTACATAGTTATGCCTTTAGCTAAACCTTTTAAAGCAGTTATTTTATGCCATTTTAAAACTGTTTTATCATATTATTTAGCATTTATGTATATTTTATCACATTTCCCTGTTACATATTACAAATATAATTTTGTAAATTAGGGGATTGCCATTAAGGTAAACTGTATAAGAGAGTTCATAATTTGATTTTTTGAGGTGGAGAATATCCCTCTGTATTTAAAATAACATCTTATTTTAAAAATTTATGTTTTACCAAAAGTTCCACTGCATTAAGTCAAACAAGGACATAGAGTTGACTTTAATAATGTCAACAAATAGGTATTCTAACTAGTTTCATGATAGACGGCAACCACCTCCTGAACCCTAACTACTATGCTCTTTCATTGCAGCAGTTGTTGTTCTTGGCCCTGGAAATTGAGGGTACTTTGCACAGCCCAAAGCTTACTTCCTTAGAGAATATGACGAATATAGTCTGATTTAACCCTCACAACATTTTCAAACTACCTCAGTCTTCATCTCTGTTGTGGGCAGCAATCAAAGTGTAAGAGAGTAAATCCCAAACAATTTTTAGCAGTCTCCTATATTACAATCTGCTTCAGTATGAAAGAAATTTTTGCAGCTCAATTATCAGTTGAGGTTTTGATAACTTTCTTTTTAATGGCATTTCTTAGATATAAGCTAACATGAATCTTAAACAAGTATTTCTTATGAAATTCTGAATTATACAAATCCAATAGATAGAAGACACATGAGTTTATAAGGAGTTAATGGTAGGATAAATTATAAGGCTTCATTCACCTTTCTTATATGTTAAAGTCTTACTGAGTCAACATTTATTATAAGACAGTGGTTGTTACAGTTGAAGATACGCTTTCTTTCATATATGAAGATGAAGCAACTACATTCTCACTAGTAATGCATGCATATTTGAGTTCTTTTTACCAGTAGTGATAGTGGCTTAGACTGATGTATCTGCAAGGGTTGTTGTGAACCAAAACTAAGTTTACAGGATAGCACTAATGATCAGTATTTTTTATAGAGCTTCCTATGGGCCAGACACTTTATAATTACTTTACAAATATTATTTAAGGATATTAAAAAAAATACTGTTAAAGTATTTTTTCCTTTTCATGTAATTTCCTTTAAAATTCTAACGATTGTGGTAATTGGAAGCAAATTCTTTGATACCCATTTGTTCATTTGACAATAATAGTTTGAGGGCCTCCTGTGTACTATGGACTCTATGAGGTGATGTTGTTATACTAGAGATTTCTAATTCATGACACAAAAGTATTCTTTCTACCCATAGTTTTGTAAACCACTGAGACACACTTTCACCAGTTGCAGATGTTATATCTATAAACTTCCAACAAGTTAGTGATGAGCTTCTAGATTCTTTAGCCATCTCATGTGGCTGAGCACATCAGGAGTAAATTGAGGCATAAACTGCCATAAGTGATCTACTTTAGATGTTTCCTTATGTAATATGATAACAGTGAAGGTCTGAAAACTTGGTGAACAACTTTTATAAGGCCCCTAACCTGAATTTACCTATTGCATATATTTTAGTCTTTAAAATCAGTGGGATTTTACTTTCTTCCCTATTGCTAAAATATCCTGTGACAGAGTCTAGAGTACATTAAAATGAAGTCCTCTGTAGATATATTTCGGTTCTGTTGTATCTTACACATAAACTCTTTTGGGATGTAAGGTGAAGAGGCGGAGAATGGCATACTCTGCTGTTAACCACACCTGCATAGTCCACAGCGTAAGGATGCACGTGTATTATGTCTGTAGAGTTAGATCTAGTATGCTTTCTGGGAACACTATAAAAGTAATAATAGCACATTAAAAGTAGTTGGTATTTGAATATTGTGATTATAAATAAAAAGAGGTAGACATAGTGCTCACATTTGTATACCTTTCCATTTTATTTAACCTCAGATACTAGAAACCAATCTATGGAATATTGTTTTATTTTTGCTCCTCTCTTTTTCTTATTACCCATGTTTTTAAACAAGTTTCCTAAAAATTTAACTTAAATTTTAATCAATTTTTAAGATTTTGATTAGAGTTGCTAAAAATTTAGAAATTATTTGTATATAACTTTTTTTAACCAACAGCATTTACATATTTTAAATCGCATTTAGATATTTTAAATTGAGATCTGCAGTGTTTGTAAGATATATGTACTTCTGCTTAACAAAAGCTGAATACATGAAAATGGAAACTTATGGCATTAATAAATTAGGGGATCATCATTAGATTGAGCTTTATTAGAGACTTCATCGCTGGATTTCTTTGAAATGGAGACTGTCCCTGCTGTGTTTAAATGACGTCTTGTTTTAAAATGTTTTTCAGGAATATTTCTTACATGAAGTGAGTTTTACTACTTTATTTCATGTGTTTCATTAGGAGACTTTCCACTAAGAATGTCATCAAAGGCATACATTGTACCTTTTCATGTTCTTAAGCATTGATACAAAAATAGGTGGCAGACTTTTGTTTGGTCCTACAAAAGAAGTAATTTAAACATAAGAAGAAAATACTGTAACCTCTAAATTTTATTTTTAATAGATTAAGATTTAAAAACTTGTGAACTATATAATGAAATCTGTAAGGAAATCTGATATATCAGAAAGTACAGCTGGAAATCACCAGTCCCAGCGATTGCCGTTATATATGCACATGCGTGTGTATAAATTGAATTTATACTAAGAGCCTAGAAGCAATAGAAGCATTGGGGTTCTGCATCAGAACAACAATTATGCTGAAAGGCATAAAGTAAGGATTTTAGCAGCTGCTACATAATAAAAGCCTCATACTACTTTTGTATCCACAGTTTTTTATTCTTCACTTTGCATGAATATTAAATATTTCTGCACTCATAATTTTAAATAGCTGTGACTTGGAGACACTGGAGAACATGCAGTAAATAGCTTGTGTGGAGATGCGTATCATTGTAGTGTCATTTAAGAATGTAAACATAGGAACTATGGTCATTGATCTCTCTTGTTGAATTGTTCTTGTGAACTATTCCCAAATTGAGGTATTTTCTTTACCACAGGAATACTACAGTACTTTAAAAAAAAAATTCTACTTGCATTTTCTCATTTGATCTTCACATCCAAGGTAAGCTTTTTCAGAAGCAGAAGTTGAGACTCAGGTTAATGACTTGCCCAGAGTCGTGTAGCAATTTAGTGGCAGAACTGGGATTAGAACCTGGGTATCTGACACTTATTCCCTCCCTTTGACTCCCCAGTTTACTGCATCCAGTGGAGCTCTGGAACTTTCTGCTATAAATAAATAAAATTTCATGTGTATACCAGTGATGTGTAACATGTAGCAAACATAAGTTTTTCTCAATAATGAACAGAATATTAGGGAGGATAATTGCAATAAGAATAATTAAAAAAAAAACAAAAAAACCGAAACCTGTTGCCATCGAGTCAATTCCGACTCATAGTGACCGTATAGGACAGAGTAGAACTGCCCCGTAGAGCTTCCAAGGAGCGCCTGGTGGATTCAAACTGCCAGCCTTTTGGTTAGCAGCTGTAGCACTTAACCACCATGCCTTCAGGTTTTCCAAAAAGAATATTAGGTAACATTTTTAAGTACCTAATATGGCACTTATACTCTTCCAAGGACTTTTATTT